TGAGAAGTCTGCTGTGATTCTCATGGGCTTCCCTTTATAGGTAATCTGTTTCTTTTCTCTAGCAGCTTTTAATATTCTGTTCTTTTGCTAGAGATCTGGGAACTTGACTACCATGTGTCTGGGTGTAGTTTTATTTTGGTTGTGGTTGTTTGGAGCTCCAAATGCCTCATTTACCTGTATATCAGATTCTGTTTCCATGCTTGGGAAATTTTCTGCTATGATTTCTGCAAATAATCTGTTAATGTCAGTTGTGTTGCTTCCTGCTGTTACATTGACTCCTATAATTTGAACATTATCCCTGTTTGCCTCTTCTTTAGCTGTTGAATTGACTTTTCCTGGATCCTTGCTGATTTTACAAGATCCGTTCTTTCATGGTCACTATCTGCCATGCTGTCTTCAAAGTCTGAGATTCTATCTTCAGCTTCATTCATGTGGTTCTGGTAGCTTTCAGTGGCAGTTTTGTTTTCCTGGAAGCTTAGAATCTGGTTCATGTGTTCTAAGTCCTTTCTATATTTTTCATTGAATGCTTCTAACTCTTGCCTTTGTTCTTCTATTTTCTCATATATTTCTTCTTCAGACTTTTTGAGCATTTCCTTCATTATTCTTGTCATTTCACTTTTTACCTGAGAGATTATTTCTGATCGCATCTCTTCTATGGCCTTATGGAGTTGTTTCTTTACCTCCATTGCAATCATTTCAGCTGTTTCAGGCATGTGTTTACCAAGTTCTCCTATGTTGATGTCTCCTGGACTTGTTCTGATTGGGGTGGAGTTCTGGGATTGTGTTTTAGTCTTTCATTTTGACATGCTTGCTACTGGTTGCAGAAAGCTCAGTTTCTCTCTTCAGTAGCTGCTCAGCCAAGACCACCAGTGTTCCTATTTTTCCTGTTGTTCAGGTTTGCCTCTGTGTGACCTCTGAGTAGCACTACTTAGTCTCAGGTTTTCCGGCAGTTTTTGATTTGTATCTAGCTATCCCCATTCTCAGATACGGGCACTTGTGCCAGTTGATGGCCTACCATCTGATCCAGTGTCCCCTGCAGTTCAGGGCACATGCACTAGCTGACTCAGGTTGCACTGGTGTGACAATCCCAGTCCAGTGGTCCTATGTCCCCAGACAGTTTAGGGTACAGGCATAATTCAGACACAAACTGCAGGGTCTACAGTTTGTAAACCACCTGACTCTATGTCTCTAGTAGGTTCAGGACACATACAAGAACCAGATGCAGCCCACGTGGGTAGCAGTCACAGACTTTCCCAGCCTTCAACTCACTAGGGGGTCTGGGCAATGGCATAGCACAGACTCCGTGGGTCCAGCAGCTCCCGGAGCACTCGCTCTCTCAGCACAGAGTGCATGGGGCTTAGAGAGTCTGCTTGCACAGCCCCCAGCCAGAGAAGTCCCCAGGGCTTCTCAGTGAGGATCTCCTCTCTGCTGCGGGTGCCAGGTGGGCAGCGACTCAGTCTGTAATGTCGGTTGGGCCTGGTTCGTGTGCTCTGTCCTCAGGGAGTAGATGGAAAATACCTGGCTCTCTATGCGTGTTTCAGCTGGGAACCATGGCAGCGTGGGCCGAGCACAGACTCGAACCCACGGGCCCAATAGCTCCCGGAGTACTCGCTCTCTCGGCGCAGGGCACACGGGGCCTGGTTGGAGTTCTATATGCCTCATTTACCTGTATATCAGATTCTGTTTCCATACTTGGGAAATTTTCTGCTATTATTTCTGCAAATAATCTTTTTAAATCAGTTGTGTTGCTTCCTGCTGTTTCATTGACTCCATTATTCCTCTTTGCCTCATTTTGCAGCTGTTGAATTGATTTCTCCTGGATCCTTATTGATTTTACGAGATCCTTTCTTTTAAGGTTGCTAGCTGCCATGCTATCTTCAAAGTCTGAGATTCTATCTTCAGCTTCATTTAAGTGGTTTTGGCAGCTTTCAATGGAAGCTTTGTTTACCTGGAAGTCTCTTTGAATCTGGTTCATGCATTCTAAGCCCTTTCTATATTTTTCATTGAATGCTTCTGACTCTTGCCTTTGTTTTTCTATTTTCTTATATATTTCTTCTTCAGACTTTTTGAGCATTTCCTTCATTATTCTTATCATTTCACTTTTTGCCTGAGAGATTATTTCTGATCTCATCTATTCTATGTCCTTATGGAGTTGTTTCTTTACTTCCATTGCAATCATTTCAGCTATTTCAGGCATGTGTTTACCAAGTTCTCCTATGTAAATGTCTCCTGGAGTTGTTGTGATTGGGGTGGAGTTCTGGGATTGTGTTTTAGTCCTTTGTTTTGTCATGTTTGCTACCTGACGCAGAAAGCTCAGTTTCCCTCTTCAGTGGCTGTACAGCAAAGGCCACTAGTGTCCCTAGCTTTCCTGTTGGTCAGATTTGCCCCTCAGTGTCTGCTGAGAAGCACTACTTAGTCTGGGGTTTTCTGGCAGTTCATGATTTGTATCTAGTTATCCCCATTCTCAGACACGGGCATTGGTGTCAGCTGATGGTAAACTGTCTGATCCAGCTTCCCCTTGCAGTTCAGGGCACGTGCATGGCCCAGACTCAGGTAGCACTGATGTGACAATCCCGGTCCAGGGGACCTGTGTCCCCAGGCAGTTCAGGGTACAGACAAAACCCAGACACGAACTGCAGGGTCAACAGTTTGTGAACCACCTGATTCTGTGTCTCCAGTCAGTTCAGGACACATAAAGAACCAGAGGCATGCTGGACAGACAGCAGTCATAGATTGCTCATGCCTGCGACCCGCCCCCCCAGTGCGTCCGGGCACAAATAAAGCACAGACTCGAATCACAGGATCAGCAGCTCTTGGAGCGCTCGCTCACTCCGTGCAGGGCACATGCAGGGAGGGCCCACACACAAACTCCAGTGAGAACAGTCTCCGAGTCTTCTGAGTGAGGACCTCCTGCTTGCTGTGGGTGCACAGAAGGCAGAGACTCAGACTGTAATGTCGGCGGGGTCCTGGTCACCCACTGTGCCCCCAGGAAGTAGATGGGAAATACCTCGCTCTCTCTGAGTTTCAGCTGGGAACCGTGGTGGTGGGAGCAGGTCGTGGGAGCAGGTCTCAGCCTACCTGGTTCTGCTTCTTAGTCAGTTCAAGACGTACGCAGGAGCCAGACCCCAGCCACTCAAGAAAGAAAGTTGCTTCTCAATTCTGTGGCTTCTATGTTTATAGTTTCTTTAAATCTTACTGTTTCCTTTCTGTTTCACCTGTCACTTTCTGTTTCCCTTTCTGTTCACCTTTCTGTTTTCCCTCTCCAGTCTGAGGGAAAAGATAGTTTGCACATTTTTCGCCCACACCAAGAATTTTGTTTCAGTACTGGAGATTGAACACAGGGCCTTGAACATGCCAGGCAAGAACTTTGCCATGCAGGTATCACCTCCAAGCCTTTTAAAAATTGTTCTTTGAGGCACAGTCTCACTAATTTGCACAGGTTGGCTTCACACTTGGAATCTTCTAGCCTTAGCTTCCTAAGTAGATGGGATTACAGGCAAGTATGACCATGCCTGGGAAAGTAAATATATTCTTTAATTATATCACTTAATGTGCATGTATAAAGCCAAGCATTTAGGGGTGTATGGACAGAAGGGACTCTTAGGTAGGGTTCCTGGGCTTTTTTAGAGGGTAGATAAAAGCAGGCTCATAAGCAAGCAGCTTTCACGTAGCTTTGTGGTTTTTCTTCCAAAGCTGACTGGTGTGGTGCTGCCTCTGTGCAGGCACTGTCTACCCGACTTCCTTGTGCAGATTGCCATGCCTACTCAAGTTCCCCTTTTAGCTAAAGAAACCCAAACCCCTAGCATCAAGCCCAACATCCAATCAATCAGGTACTTACACTGGGTGGGTGGTTTACTTTCCTTTGTACTGGTCTGACTCATCTTCCCCCTTCTATATTAGTGAGAGACAAGCTGGGAAAAGTTTTAAGGGTGGGCTGGTGACCCCAGGCCCACCAGACACAACAATGGGAAATCAAAGAGAGGCATAATGGAAATCTGCAATGTTCAGGTTCCAATCTTGCATTTTCTGGGTCCATTCACTTGATTATATGGTACCTATGCTTGATAAAAACGTGGCTTTGTCTTTTGCGTTGAGATAGGGTCTCACGTTGTGTTCAGGCTCTCCTGCCTCAGCCTCCTGAGTATTGAGGTCACAGGTGTGAGCCAATTTGCCCAGCTATTTATAGTATGCAATGAATGCCATCTAAGTTTACATTGGCAGATTCATCTGGCTGAATAATTCTTTATGGTAATCCTTCTTTCAGGGAAATGTTGACCACAATATCAAATTAAAACTCACAAAAAATTGTTTAACGTTGAAACAAGAAAAAGGAACTAAAGGTTCCTAATATTTCCATCGAGATAGGAAATTGTCATTACTTCTCTTTAACAACAGTTCTGCTCACAGTAGGAATGCTCTATGATTCAGCATCGGATTTGCCGCTTACTAATTATTGGACATTTGCAGGCTTCAGTTCCCTTATTTTGTTAAAATGTTGCAAGGATTGAGAGTATACTTTTAACACCGCACAGCATTATGCCACGTCTAATATAAACATACAACGTTTTGTATTATTACGATACTGTTTGTTACATTGTTATTTATCTTTGTACTATTTAACAACTTTATAGCTAAGCTAGAGAACCTGAACAAGGGCTTTACAGACCCAGCCTTACAACCAGGCAGAGAGGCGGGCACAAGTTACCGTGGCAACAGCGCACACCGAGGACATTTTCCGATCTAGCTCCGTTTGGACAGGGGGAAAAAAAAGCCCAAACGGCCTGTTGCGTCATCACTCCGCGCTTGCTCGGGTGCTGCTTTAGGAGGTCCCGGTCTGGCTACCGTCGCCTCACGCCGGGAATTGTTTATCTCTTTCGGCCTTTGTTACCGCGCACTGAAGCGGGCCAGCTGTGAGTACTGAGGGCAGGGAGCGCTGCGAGCGCGCAGCCAGCGTGGAGGGCGATGCCCCGCGGCGGCGCCGTCGCCGCCGCCGT